AAAGGAAGACCCAAATGAAGACATATTGTGTTCATTTCATTCATACAAAGTTCAGAAAGAGGTAAAACTAATCTGTGACATTAGAAGTCCTGACAGTGGATATCCTTTAGTGGGGAGTAAAGAGAAATAAAGAACCATCGGGGAATATCTGAGATTCTACTGTATTAATTTCCTACTGGGGGTTGATTAAATCATATATAAGAAATCAACCCCCCGGGGAGAGAGCCAAGCAACAACCCCTTCTCCTCTATTCTCCTCTTGGGATCTTTGGCAGATATGCACGCACACCTGCCCAGCCTGAGTTTAAGCCACCGGGTCCTGGACTCAGACCACAATCAACCACATGGGAGTCCAAAGACATAGCCATTATGCTATCTGCTGGTCCCTGTCCTGCTATATCTTTATGATTTGTATAATTTTCAATACACTTCTTAAGAAAACTGTCATCGGGACCAGCAGATGGCATAATGGCTATGTCTTTGGACTCCCATGTGGTTGATTGTGGTCTGAGTCCAGGACCCGGTGGCTTAAACTCAGGCTGGGCAGGTGTGCGTGCATATCTGCCAAAGATCCCAAGAGGATAATAGAGGAGAAGGGAATGCGGCATGGCCATCCCCCCAGGAGGGTGGTCATTTCTTGCTTTCGGTCTCTCTCTTTCTGTCTTTCTGGCAAGTGTGCACCTTATAACAAAAATCTCTCTGCCTCACCACCCCCCCAAATAAAAGAGAAAAGAAAAAAGAAAACACGCATTATTGGTTTTATCAGATGAAGACCAGAACCAGGCTCTGGGAAGACCAATAGGGTAAATGGAAATTATTTTTAATTACTTTCAATATTTTGAAAACACTAATAGCAATAGTCAACTAATTATAACAAAATTAGGCACAAAATAAATAATTTAGAACAGAAAAAGATAAAAAATATAAGGACTTTTATTTCTTAATTAACTACCTATAACAAATCTATAAAATGTATTGCCTACTTGTTATATATGCAAATTCTTTCATTGGCTCCTCATATAATATACTTTATGACACTTGATACAAAGAGACTAGAAAAAATTTTCTCTACTATGATTGATACAATTGTTTAAATGAAGATAATGAGATTTCATTTGCAGATATATTCACTATCTATTATTTTACTATAATCTTGAGCTCTACAATCAGAGAAATTCTAATAAATTATTTTTTTTAATTTTTTAAAGAACTATGTTAACTTTATTTATTTGTTCATTTATTTATTTTTAATTTCACCATAGAAAGACACACACACACACACACACACACACACACAGAGAGAGAGAGAGAGAGAGAGAAAGTGAGAAAGCAAGCCACCAGTTCTGGGACTGGAACCGTGGTCGGCCATGTGGGAATCCAGCGTCCTTAACCACTATGGCACCTACTGGTCCTGAGAAATTCTAATAAATTCTATTTCTTCCAATTCCTACAAAAAATGTATGGTGTCTTTATAATTTTATACCTAGCATTATAAAACATACCCCCTAGCAGCAGAGAACTTCCATTTTGACCAGGAATTTTCAAGATGTAAACCCTATATTTTAAATCATCTAAATATTAAAATATCTAATAACCAATTTCCCACAAACTAGCATCTTTTGCCTCTATTACTATGTTCTTCTGAACCCTGTACAAAGAACATATTTCTAACACTTCATATTAAGACTCTGGCATAAAATTTACCCAACAGAAAGTAGAAGTTACTCTTGCACTGGGACAGTTAGGAAGAACTTAAATATCAACAGTGCCATAAATGAATCTCTCTAGACTGTAACTAAATGTATGGCCAATTCTACTTTCTTGTAGTTTGATTTTAAAAGTGCACATGACCACCCTACACATCTTCCATAAAATGATAAGCATGGAGGGGGCTAAGATAGAATGGAAAGAGACTGTGATCTCAATTAACTATTTTTTAAAAATTATTTATTTTATTTATTCATTCATTTATTATTATTATTATTATTTAGTTTGACCAGAGAGAGACAGAGGGTGAGACTGAGAGAGAGAGGAAGTGAAAAAGCAAGCCACCAGATTCAGGACTTGAACCCAGGTTGGCCATATGGGAGTGTCCAGCACCTTAACCACCACGCCACCTGCTGGTACCTCAATTAACTATTAAAATATTGTACTTTTGGGGACCAGAAGATAGCATAATGGCTACTTCGCTGGACTCCCATGTAGTTGACCATGGTTCAAGTCCCGGACCCAGTGGCTTAAATTCATGCCAGGCACGTGAGTGTGTGTGTCCAAGATCCTGAGAGGAGAGTGGAGGAGAAGGGATTGTGGTGTGGCCGTTCCCCCTGGGGGGTGGTGGTGATTTCTCACTTTCTGTCTCTCTGTCTCTCTCAGTCTTTCTGGTGAGTGCATGCACCCTATAGCAAAATAAAAACCTCTCCAATAATAATAATAATATTGTATTTTTAAAACTTTACAAAAATGAATAATTACATGAACTCAAATACTAGCTCCCTTGTGGTGCCTTGCATGACGCCAGTGCAAGCTTCATTTACTTCTCTGTAAATTCACTTCTGCTTTCTCCTTTGCTTCACTGGTTGCATATCGCTTCTTCTGGAAATAAGCTCTTCATATCTAATTACTGTCAAAACAATGCACTCACCTATGGTTGGTCCCTTTGTCAGCTGTGATTGTCTTCTCACAGTCGGCAATCTGTATGGCACTATTTAAGTTTCTCCTTCAGTGCCTCTTTATAGAATTTCATCTGCCTGCTACATGGACAGCCCATTCTGGCTTAGTAGACAGCAGCTGGTAAAGTATCTGGGTTTTGTTATGGACCATTGTTAGGCACAACCAGCTGAGCACAGTTGGGAAGCAGCCATTAAGCTTTGATACAGCAGAGCTGGCGGTGCTTCAAGGCCTTAATGGTTTTCTCCTGCCATTTGATGTAGATTTGGTACCAATAAGCAGGGTGGAGCCTCTGTGCATACACATGCAAAAGCAATATTTTTAGCCTTCACTTTCATCACACAGTTCTTGATTCAATTCATCCCTTACCCAGACAGGAACTGGTTTTACCTATTTGTGCTGACTCTACACTCTATTTTACACCTTGAAAAAGTACTCAGAGCTTTTATTCCCTTTCACCCACAAGACAGAGTTGCTTAACAATATGATATACATTCATGCTTACCATGGTCATGCAAGCATTTAAATCAGAAGTACAGTTGTACAGGGAAAATGTTAGCCCAAGAAATGAATTTTTGCAGCCTCGTGGTTCTGTGTTGACTATCTTTCTTTTTAGCCTAAAGAAGTGGTTCATTATTTAAAATAACAAATATTTATTTTATAATATTTGATATAGAGACTAGAAAAAGTGTTGAGTTAGAAAAATAAAATTAATATGAAGCTTTTGCATGCAGCACAGAAATTCATTTAAATGGCCAATATTGGATTAAATAAATGTATCTTCTACTAGCTCTCAGAGAATCTTTAGATTATCCATAAAGTTGCAATGACCATACAGAAGCTTTTTTTTTTTTTTGGAGAAGTTTTTGCTATAGGGTGCACGTGCTCGCCAGAAAGAGAGAGACAGAGAGACAGAAAGCTAGAAATCACACCCCAGGGGGCATGGCCATGCCATAACCCCTTCTCCTCCATTCTCCTCTTGGGATCTTGGGCATGCATGCACAGGTGCCCGGCATGAGTTAAAGCCACCAGGACAGGGAATTGAACCGTGGTGGACTACATGGGAGTTCAGCAACATAGCCATTATGTTAACTGCTGGTTCCCAGAAGCTTTTTCAATTTAGAATTATTTCTTCCTCTTCTTTAGTTATACTAACCAAGAACTTGTTCTATAGTGTTTTACATCGGTTATTTCATTTAATTCTCATAACAAAACTGTAAGAAAGATAATATTATCCCTATTTTGAGGAAACTGAACATTGATAAGGGATAAACTTCACAAGTTTACACAAGAAATAACTAATAATAAATGTGTGCCTCAAACGTGGGTTCACAGACATCAAAGCAATGTTTATAACCACTTTTAAACTTTTTAATTAATTTTTTAGATAGTTTTTGTTTGTTTTTTTTGTTATAGGGTGTGTGCACTCACCAGAAATAGGAAGTGGGAAAGCACCCCCCCCCAACAGGGATAGTCACCCCACAATCTCTTCTCCTCTTAGGATTTTAGGCATGCACACGTGCCTGGCATGAGTTTCAAGTCCCCAGGTTTGGAATTTGAACCGTGATTGGCCATGTGGATGTCCAGCACCTTAACCCCAATGCCACCTGCTAGCCCCCACCTTATTTGTACCTTTTAGAGTTAGTAGTTTGGTCAGTAAAAACTGGTATTTATTTTTTACAATCTTCTCAAATCTAGAAAAAGCCAGAATTACTTTGCTATAAGAGTTATGACAGGTTTGGATAATTGAAACAATTTATTGTCTCCTAATCTTAGAAGCACTTCATTTTTCATCATACTAAAAATGTCTTGAATTAGTATTTGATTTGGCCTGCATTTTTTAGTTAATTTATTTTAGTTATTCTAATACCTGTTACACGGTTTTGTTTCAAAGTGTTGTTATATGCCTGTATGAAATGTTAAATGAAGGGTTCAGGGTCAAGTTTCAAACCCAAAGTACCAGACACACTTGGGACAGTGGCAAGAAATCTGCATTTTAAACTAATAGATTATGACTTTTTTTTTTTTCTTGCCATGTCCACATTTAAAAAATCATTTATGCAAAAACGTCTTCCATTAGATTATTAGCATCTATAAAACAGTATTAATTTCACCACGAAGGACTGCATATAAACCATAGGTGCAATGCTGGATTGGAGGTGCTCGTGTGGCAGGTGACCAATAATACTGTTCCAGGTCATGAAACTGGCATCTCAGGACAAATATTTTGCTCTGGGTGAAGCCTTCATACTTAAGACACAACAGCGTATGCACATAAGAGAGTTGGTGATCTTAGGTATGCAAAACTGTAAGCAGGAAGTAACCTGCTGGTTGTCAAGAGTCCTCCTCATCTTTACTTGCAGAAGTTCTGTCTCTAGATTTGAGGATTTCAGCAGCCAGGGCCAACGTTCCAGCTCCACAAACCAGCTGCTTTACTTTACGGAAGCAAGTGCGCTGTGCATGACGATGGGACGTTCTGCAAGATCGTCTCTCCGTTCTGCTCACCACCACCAGGCTGGCGCCTAGGCCCAACCACCGGCCTTCGTTCTCGCCCTGGAATTGGGAGCCCTACGCCTGGACCAAACTTGCTTTCTGTTCCAGTTTCATGTAGTGATTTTCTGCTTCAACAATCAGCAGGAGGTTTTCCTCCATCTGCTGAACTACTGGCTCCAGGTCGTGGTAGTCATTCAGCTCCTTGATCATCTTTGCTGCCAACTTCCGCTCGAGCGCCCTCACCACTTCCGTTTGCGTTTCACCAAAGCGCTCAACCTCCCTCAGCGTTTAGCTTGGGATTTGCGTCTGTCGGTGCTCCGCGGCTTCCGCAGGTCCGTGTCTCCCAGAGACTCCCCAGAGCCGCGAAGTCTTCGGACTCCTTGCGGGAGGTGCAAGGGACACCCGCGAGGTCCTGTCACGCGGCGTCCACGCGGCAGAGACCCAGCCGCCGGCCCGACGGGGTGGAGGACAGGGATATGCCTCTGCAGGCCTGCGTGTGCTCTCCGGCCGACGGCAGGTAGGCCCGCTCCACGCGCAGGTCCTCGGCCGCCTCCTCGTCCTGGGGGCTCGCTCGCGCCCACTGGGCCTTGGAAAAACGACTGCAGAAGTTCCAGGGTGTTCTTCATGGTTTGTGAGGTCAGGGGGCTGTGGTCGGGGCCCGGGGAGCGCCTTGAGGCTTCCTGGGAGTAAATTGTACTGGCCGGTCAGTTCTCTTTCGACAGGTCGAGGCCCTTGCTTTTCAGAAACTCCTTAAAGGACAATGGATTTGCCTCTTTGAGTATGGGAATGACAAGACTCAGGACCACAGGGTGACAGCTCGGCTTGCGTGCATAGCCCGGTAGGCCCTCAGGCAGGCAGGCTGGCCTCCCTCAGCTGCTCCCTGGCCATGGCTCCTCCAGGCGCCCCAGACAGTTTGGTGGGCACTGAAATTTGCCCTCAGAAGAATTTCTCATGCCTTTGCTGTGGTTGATGTTTCTCGATAGTTGTTTATATGTCCCTTTAACATCTTGATCCTCACTATTATAGTAACTGGTTCTCTGAGGAAAGTCTCTCTGGTAATCATTAGACCTCTTGACAGATACTCTGCTTCTTCATCAAAGCACACGATGCCATTGCATTTCCCTGCCCCTTTGAAATTGGATGTGGCCATGTCACTACCACCAGCTAGTGAAAGCAAGTGAAATGGTGTGTGCTCCTGTTCCTGACCCCAGGAACTGTCTTGATAATGGAGGCTTTGTTAACCTGCATCTTGCATGAACATGGCATTATAAGGAGTCCCCAACTGATCCACAATGAATAGAGGAAACGGGAAGACTAACAAAATATCTTCCAGTATTCATTCCTTAGTTACAAGAACACTGACTTTTAGTCACATTACTACATGGTTAAAATATTAAGTTTTCTAGTCTACTTTGGAGCTAGGTGTAGTGATTATTTTAAATGTTGGCCATGAGATACAGGTGGAAATAAGTCATTTTTAGCGAGAGTCCTTGGAAGACAGGGATGCGTTGTTTTGTTTTGTTTTGTTTTGTTTTTTCTTTCTCTCTTTCTCCAAGTTCTTTGGAAAACATAAAGGCTAGAGTTCTAGCAGCCCTCTTTGACTATGAAGTGAGTTTTAAGATGCAAGCCATATTCAATGAAGCAAATATAGAAGGTGCTTGAGTCCAGAATAATGTGAAGCTAGAAAGCCTACTCCTGGATTTAATTTATATAAATGAGGAATAAATCTATAAATCACTTCATAGCTTTGTTTTGAATGATCTTTTATGTACAAAGCTCCACATCTAATTATAATTATTTAGAAGCAAGAACTTTGTCACTAACTATATCACTTGGGGGCAATATATTTTATAAACCTAAGCATTTTTCCTCATTTGCTAGCAAAGTAACTGGGGTACCATAACTCCAATGCAATGCAGGCATCATGGTTACGTGCCTTCCAGTGGTAAGATAGGACTCTCGTGAATGCTAGTCAGTCTTCTAAAATGATACTCTGCATTTTCTGGACTCCTTTGTCAGCTCACCTACTATCAGCACAGCACTGGTCAGCATCCTGTCAAGACAGATGGATTTTTTTTTTTTAAAGGATTGCTGGCCTTACTCAAAAACAGCTGGAGGAATGTTTTTCTGAGCTCACCAAAGTCCCATAAGCATTTCATATAGGAACTTAGGATTAGCTGATGAGTACATTTATTTTTGGTCTTCATTTATTTATTACAAATTTATGCTGATCAACTTCACCTATAATGCTGTTCTTTTGTGGCAGTCTTCTAGCCATCAGCTGTCATGCAGTTCCATAGTTGGCAGGAGATTTAGAACTCCCAGAATTAAACACTTGGATTTTAAATCTGAGGAAAGTAAGCTTTAGAAGAAATAATTAATCAAGAGCCACAAAGATAAACTCAGGTTGGAACTGAGAGTCCTTGACTCTCAACTCATCTCTCCTTTTTTCTAAACTAGGCTTCTCCAAATGTGATTAGATTTCATCTGTTCAGACTATGTGAACTCCATAGCACATACTCTCTCAAAATTTAGCTGAAATCTTTCAAGTTGAGTCCAATTTCTGTGTTTCTTCTAGTCTGAGCTCAATATATCTCTATCATTTAAAAGAGAAGTGTGTGTCCCTTCTTGATGGTTTCTTCTGAACTCCTGAGGTAAATGCCTTCTTAATCATCCTCCTCTTTGGGCATCTGACGCTCTTATAACCAGTTACTTCTCTCCTGATTATAAATATACCTAGGCCCTATCATTATATGATATAAAACTTTTCATCTTTTAAATAGAATGTAGTAAACCATCTGAACTTTCAAATGGTTCTTCATCTCTAGACAGCTTTATTCAGAGATATTTATTTCAGATCTTTTATCAAGTCATGACTTTTCTATGCTTATTTGTTTTTCTAAGAACTATTTAATTTTATTTATTAGGTCATTGGGAAAATCATGACACATTTTTGCATAGAAAAACATAGAAGAATATGTCATGGCTTTTAAAAAAATATTTATTTATTTTTATTTATTTTTATTTGACCAGAGAGAGACAAAGTGATAGAGAAAGAGAGAGAAAGTGAGAAGGCAAGGTACCAGGCCAAGGCTCAAACCATGCTTGGCTATGTGGTAGTCTAAAACCCTTAACCACCATGCCAACTGCTGGCCCCTGTCATAACTTTCCTGATGACCCAATACTATTGTTTTTCTTAAATTTGCCCAGAGAGAGAGAGAGAGAGAGAGAGAGAGAAAGGGAAAAATGAGAAAACAAACCATGAGGTCCAGGACTCAAACTGTGACCTGCCAGCCCCTATGCTTATATTTTTTGTAATTGTCTTACCCTTTTCTTTCTCCTTACCCCTTTTCCTGTTGTTGACATAAAATATCCTGGTATCCCCAGTGGCTAGTATAATGTCTGGTACATGCTAAGTTTCTGTAAATTTTTAGGAAAAATAACTAAATATATATAATAAAAAATATCATGATAACTATTAGGAAATATGGCTGTTCAGTACGTATCCTTACATTGGAACCAAGACTGTGGGTACAAACATACATGGAAATGTACATACAAAGGAGCAGCTCAGTGACCAATTATGTGCCCACTATGCACTAGTTCCTGATCTGAGCTCTTTACATAATATTGGCTCATTTAATATTATTGTTATTATTATGACAAATACTGATAGTGCTCAGAAGATAGAGGATCTCATTGGAGAGTGCCTAATTTTGAGCATAGTAATTTTATTTTGGATTATAAAACCTCACTTTGAGTCAATCATTGGGACCAGCAATTTATTTCTTTAGTCTATCTGCATATATTTAAATATAAATATAAATAATATAAACATAAATATATATTTATACACACATATGTCAACTTGTCATTTTCTTTCTTCCTTTCTTATATGAGTGAGTAATATAGAAAGAGAGACAGACATAACCAACAAGGTATTAGTGCTACAATTCACCTCCAGCCTCAACCAGCCTAGATTATGGACACACATATGCCTGGCCTGTTCAAGAAAGTCTCTGGATGGGAACCCGAACTTCCAATGTGGGCCAGCCTTGCAGAGAGTTGTACTATTGCTGTACCACTATTTGGCCCCATCTAACTACATATTTTGAGAGGTAAAATACTTTAGACAGATTTCTCTTATCTAAAATATATAATCTCCAATTTCATAGAATGAGTCTAATAGGAAAGGTGTGTTCCAATATATAGGATTTTGTTTCAGCAATTACTTTTATTATAATTTTTTTAGTGGTTTTTGCTATAGGGCACGTGTGCTCACCAGACAGAGAGAGAGAGACATAGAGACAGAAAGCGAGAAATCACCCCCAAGGGGGGATGGTCACGCTGCAATCCCTTCTCCTCCATTCTCCTCTCGGGATCTTGGACACGTACGCACATGGGCCTGGCGTGAGTTTTAAGCCACCGGGTCCGGGATGCGAACCACGGTCGACTACGTGGGAGTCCAGCGACATAGCCATTACGCTAACTGCTGGTTCCCGTCAGCAATTACTTTTGTAACATGAAATTTTTCTTCAGGACATCCTCTGAGCTAAGTATTCTTGGGTGATAGCCAACCCCAAATTCTTATTTAGTGTTTGCCAACCCTGTGCCTTTTAAGATTTAATAAAGATTAATCAAGCAATTTTTTAGTAATCCTTCATGTATGGTATCTCATGTTACATATTTTATAAGGATATATAGCATATTTTGTAATCAGTTTTGATCTTATGAAGCCTTTCGATCTGTAAATCCTTTCTGCTGTCTCATGAGGTTTTACATGTGTATTGTCTAATGAACTTAATTCACTGGTTCTATAAATTATGAATCTGGATAAAGAACTAGTAAAAATTTAAGTCTCCTTAATCTTGATGACATATAGTGTGTACATGGAAAATCATTAAGTGAATAGTAGCACATTCCATGTATTTGGAAGAGTGATTTGATCAAACATTTCTGTAATCCATTGGATTTTAAAACAATTATAGTTATGTAAGCATTTACTTAAATAGTCAGCCCCAGGCAGTAGAACTTTCTCTGGAAGCCTTACTGAGGGAAGAGTTTCGTGAGTTTTTTCTTTGAATAAAACTAAATGGCAAGTGCTATAGTTTGAATATCTGCCAAAAATTCATGTGTCGAGATTTGATTGTGACAGGATTAAAAGGGTAAAAGCTTAATCTGACTATGATGTTGAAAGGTAAGATCTTTGGGAGGAAATTAGTATTAAGGTAATGGAGGCAGAGCCCCTATGATTGACTTTTGTTTGGTTTAGAGAATGAGACCAGAAGAGACACATGGAGACAGATACATGCATCCTTGCTCTCTACTATGTCTTGATCCAGCCAGGAACCCTGAGCAGGTGCAGCCTTGGACCTCCAAGTCATGAGCTGAATAAACTTCTTTAAAAAAAAAAATTACTCAGTCTTGGGTATTTTCCAACATTAGCAACACAGTGGACTAGAACAGCAAGATTAGGCATGGGATGGATGCCTCCTAAGTTTGCAGTTGCACTGATTTCAGGTGAACTTTAACTTTTATTTTGCAAGGTGCTATTACAGGAAGAGAGCATTTGGAGAAATGTGTCAGGTTAACAAAATACGGCTATTCCCATCTGAAAGTGTAGACCAAGGCCCCAAAGCTGAAAATGAGTGTCCCATATTGCCATTCTTAAATAAAGACGGACTATTTATAAAGGAAGAGGAAAAAGTGGTTCAAAGTGTGTCAGAGAAGAATTTAGTAGAATTTGGAAGAAACAGCTGGAAACTGGTTATCAAAAAAAGTCTGAAAATTTGCAATATTCCTTAATGCAAAGGACCTCAAGATGAAATGAAGGAAATTAATTTTAAGGAAGCTCTTTTGAGATTTAGAAGTTCAAGTCAACAATTCTATAAGAATGTAAAAACTGAAAAGAGTCATTAGGGATTGGAGAGACAATTTTGTGTTTGATGTTATATAAAAATAGTGGATATTAATTAATCAATATTTCTCACTCTGAATGTTATATGGAAATGAACATGAAACAAAACGCACAGGCAATAGAGTTAAGTGTTTTCTATAGCTGATACAACAAATTTAATAGCTCATTCAATACGGTTCTGTAGGTCAGCAGTCCAGTGGGCTCTTCTGGTTGCTCTGTCCTAATCTCACAAG